ACATGAATTCTAGTTTTGTCAGTTCTTAAGTGTCTGACTTTGGCCCAATGACTTAAGTTCTCAGTATGTTTCATATTTCTTTGAAATGTTGATAGTATTACATATCTTAGAGAGCTATGTGAGAATATGTGTACATGAAGAGTATCCAAATTGATTGTATTGATGAAAAAACCATATGATTAGTGCCTGGAAAATATTATACATATATGTTAATCATCCAATTTCCCATGGAAATCTAAACTCATGAAGAATCTTTGATTGCTTTTCTCATGAATGAAATCCAGATAAAATGGGAAGAAATGTGCTAGCAGTTTATACTTATTTTAGCCCATTCTCTGATGTCTTTTGGTTTCAAAGCATGAACACCAGTAAGGTCAGTCTTCAGAGTAGAAGTAGTAATTTCTGTTCTCCTACTTAATAAAATTTTAAAAAGTTATTAAACTTCCACAGCCCAAATTGCACAGCTCACAGTTGTAGTTTCTTCTTATGTTTTTAAATTTCTTTGATATTGAACCCAAGATTACCACTGAGCTACAACCCTAGCCCTTTTCATTTTTGATTTTGAGACAGGGTCTTGATAATTTGCTGAAGCTGGTCTTGAACTTGCAATCTTCCTGCATCAGCTTCCCAAATCTCTGGGATTACAGGTGTGCCCCACTGTACCAGGAACATGATTGTAGTTTCTATTGACTCCAGTTTTAGAATAGTGGTCCTCAACCAGGTCAGGAAGGAACTCAGAAGAATCTTTGTATATGGTGAAGGAGAAAGAATGGGCAATTTTATTTTATTTTTTTATTGGTTGTTCAAAACATTACAAAGCTCTTGGCATATCATATTTCATACATTAGAATCAAGTTGGTTATGAACTCCCAATTTTACCCCAAATACAGATTGCAGAACCACATTAGTTACACATCCACATTTTTACATAATGCCATATTAGTAACTGTTGTATTCTGCTACCTTTCCTACCCTCTAATATCCCCCCTCCCCTCCCCTCCCATCTGCTCTCTCTACCCCACCTACTCTAATTCATTTCTAGCATTAAACAGATACATGAGGTGGGAGGGAAAGGGAGAGAAAAGGGAAATTGCATGGTAATGGAGGGAGACCCTCATTGTTATACAAAATTACATATAAGAGGTTGTGAGGGGAATGGGAAAATAAACAAGGAGAGAATGGGCAATTTAAAAATGATTCTCAGGAAATGTATGTTCAATTCCTTTGTGAACTGTAATCTGTTTTAGAGTTCTTATTAAAAGGTTAATATTAGGATTGTAGGTGTAGCTCAGAGGTAGAGCACCTACTTAGCACACAGGAAGTCCTGGGTTTAATTTCCAGTTCTGATAAAAAAGTTTTAAGTAAAATAAAATGGTGATATTCTGTTGTGACGGAGTTATACCTAAAGGATAGCAGAATTATACAATGAAAATTGGAAACAGATATGAAAAAAAAGTTAGACATAGAAAAAATAAAGTGATAAGAAATAGTTTGAGTAGATGGTCCAAAGTCTGTTGGATAAATTTATGGATTTATCCCACTACAGTTTCTTCCCCTTTGACCTGGGTTCTCTTTTTTCATAAACATACAAGACTAATAACATATACATCTTAGAAAAGTATCACCCCAGTCAACGTCCCCTAGACAGGAGAATTCCAAACCCAGAAGTGTAAAATATGTAAGTGCCCTAATGAGTCTCCAGGCTCATCTCTCCAGTGTGGACCACCAATGAAGTGCAGTCAGAGTCCCCGTCTCCCAGTGGCTTTAAGTAAGACACAGATGAGGTGGCCTCACATGATTTTTTTTCTTCTCTAAAGTGGAGTTCAGGCACCACATTTTGACTGATTTCCAATTCATAGGAAAGTAATTTGGTAGCAAGTTCACAAAGACTATACACAAGTATTAGTACTCCTGTGTTTATGAGAGTTGCAAGTAATCTCCCAAAGCTACCACTGACTATGGCCCTCCTATTTATTCCAGTCCTTAGCACTATCTCCACATGGCTCAGGTCTATGGTTCTGTTTTTGTGCCAATCCATGCATTTTTTTTTATCCATAATACATATATCTATAATAAGTTTCATGAAGTCCTGGTGGTGATTGTAAATATAGAATAGGTAGATAATTGTCATCCCTGCTTTTTGTCACATTCTGTTGCATTGCAGCTTCTTCAACTCTGAAGAATCATGGTTCTTATCCAGAATGGGTGATGTCATTTTGAAGGCATGTCATGGTGATTGGCAAAGTACCAAATTTTGTAAATAATTCCAGCAATTTAGCTATTTAGTAAATTGAAGCAGATTCGGGATTATCTAAATAATATAGACATTGTTTTCACTCATTTGAACTGATTAAATTTCCTGAGTGAAACAGAAAGAAGTAGATATTTTTCTTTCCATATGGAAACCATATAGGAGGTATGTCTTAACATGCAACCCTATCATGTAAATTCTTGTTGCTTTTTAAAAAGTCATTTCTTAAAACAAAAACGATTCTCAGAAAGTTGGCCAAGTGCAGAGGGACTGTGATTTTTTTATATCCTTCATAGGACTCAGATATATGGCCTTTTGTGTGTCTAAAGCTTTATCTAGAATTCTCCTTAGGTTATCCATAGGAAAGTTACAATAAATGTTGGCATAATATTAGCAGTCTACTTAGTATAAAGCAAAAATTCATTTCAATTTTTCTGGTCTAAATTATAAGAAAATAATTACTTGCACACTTTCAGCTATAGGTAGAAAAAATATAAATTAATCAAATGATCAAATGTCTTAGAATGAAATCAGAGACACTTCAGTGGCTTTCCTACCATCTAGAGGAAGGGATTTCCTCTTTCTGTTTCTTTTTTACTCCTCTCACCCCAAGTATTAGCAGCATCATTGGAAGTGAAGCAAGGACAATGATGGTCCTTTGCAACTTCTTTATGTATCCTTTTTATCATCCTTGGAGAGAAAACCACCTTCAGACTTCCTTTTGAAGGTCAATAGAAAGATAAAATTTTCAGTTGAAAAGAAATCAAAAGAGCTCATTGGGGACAGTACATTCTTGACCTTCAGACAGTGAACACCTAGACAGAAACTTCACTAATCCTGGCATATCTGCTCCTTCCAACCCATCCCACATATATGTACATATTTCCAATATTCCCATAATTATGAAAGATTCCAAAATTATAAAAATTAATGTTTTCAGAAGACATTCATTAAGAATGACACAAGAGAAGATTCCAAAGCTTTAGCAAAAATTTTGAATGATGCACAAAAGCGCTTGTCTTGCCCACCTATCCTCCGCTCCTGCCCCTCCTCCCATTTCTTTAATAGCTGGTAGATGTTGTTGGCTAGAGAGTTAGGCTTTGAGAAAAGCAGTGACTTTTCAAAAGTTCTATTGTTCCTAAGCCAGTTTGGGCATGTTGTATTTTACATTCCAGAACAGCTTTTATCTACTAAACTGCTGGCCCTTAAAGACTATGGGTTGGCAACACAGCTAGTGTCCTCTCAGATTTAATTCAGATATCCCCTTTCTAAGCCATTCCTTTAGGGCAGAAGGTACCTGCCAAATTATGAAACATCAGTCAACCTGAAAACCTGGTCCAGCCTCCATAGATAGGCAAGAGAAGGCTTCTGGGGATTATAGGTAGGAACAACATCATTCCAAATCTGATTCTTGTATCACATCCGTGTGATACAGTTATGGCTGACTTAAGCCGACGAGTTTATTTGAAGGATGTCTTTCTTTCGGAAATGTGTTTTGACTCAGTTATTTTTTAAAATGAATTAGAATAGTTCAGAAAGAACTACATCAAAAAGATGGGGAGGGATACTGAGGTGTTTCTGAGTGTCATTGTTCAAAATGAGGTGATGTGTGACTTTAAAGGCTTGTGCCATGTGTGCTGCCCATTCAGACTAGCCTCAGATCAGAAATGAACAGATGCCTAGGTTGAGGTGGAAGGAAACAATGATGTTTCTTTTCTCCATTTGAACGGTCAGGGGAAGGGAAATAGTAGTGATGGATGTACCTTGAATCTCCCCCCTCTTGGTAATTTCTGCTCCAACAATCTCTTGCCTCTGATCACCCAGCAACCAGATTCAGGCAAGCAGGTGATGTAGGGGATTTAAAGAGTGGATAAGAAACATCTAAAACATTGTTTAGAATGTAGTATTTTTAAAATCACCATGCCAAGTGCCCATTCTTATGGACCCACACTGACTTCCTAACTCAGAATGTTGGAAAAAAAATTCCCTGGGTTGAATCAGGATTTCAGGAGGAGAAATGACAAGATTGTGTTCCAGCCTGTGAATGCAGGAAGAAATAATGGTTCATGTCATTTTGTTTCTACCTTAAAGAAGCTTCCTATTTTTAATCTACTAATTTCAAAATTTCTTACATATATCCACATAATCACTCTCCAAAGTAATGGTATTATCCCCATTTGGCAGCAGAGAAAATTATTTGTTTTTGTGTTATTTCAAGATTTGAAAATTCCCAAAGGTTTTGATACACATCCCCTGTAAGATCCAGAGTTTTCAAAAGTCAAACTTAATCATGAAGGTAGCTTGAAGGAAAGATAAATTATAACCTGGTGATATTCAAGGAGAATGAATTGCAACGTGACCAGTATTTATAGAAAGGAGATGGAACTTGTACAGTGAAGCTTTCTTGGAGTTCTAAGGTGTCTCCAGAACTTGTCTGTGGCAGGAAGGTTTCTTAAATGCTGCTCCCTTGGGTGAGATGGGAAGGGTGACAGGTTAGCAATGTGTGGAAGTAACTCAATAGTGTTTATTTTTACACGACACAGGGATTTGAAATGCTCACCCTCTAATTCTAAAGAACGGAATCCAAGAATTTGCTATAATTCATCCTTTTAGAAGTAGTCTATAGCTAAGCATTCCCAACCTCTATCTAGTCAAGAACCTGTAAATGTCTCAGCCAATGGGAATGATCCCAAAATCTCTTATAAAAGGTATTATGCCGGCTCACACTAAGGTTGCTATGCTATTGCAGGGACAGCAATAATGGTAATGAAAAGCTTCAGGAAGTCATTCTGTGGCACAGTGGCATCAGATTCTTTTCCAGGACAGCACAGAAGCTCAATTAGCTTTTCAAGTCTGGCAACCAAGTAAGTGCCTCAAAGAACCCTGGGACCCTCTGTTATTTTGTAAATCACTAAGCAACAAAAGCTTGTTAAACCACACTACTTGTTTTATCAGTTCCTAATACAGACCAATGGAATTGTTTCTCACTAAAATAAATTTATCTCTACTTCCCCCATATCATTAAGTAAATACATCTCCTCCATCTTGCCTATAGATGATAACTCAAGGTCATCTATAACCATAAGAACAAAAGCTATGTACACATTTTTTTTTCAGACCACCTTTCAGGTACCCTAGAATTAAAGATTGTGGTCAAATTTCAGCTATTTCCAAATGGCTTTTCTATTATTAATCCATTCCCAATTTGTAATAAATTCGTATTGAGATTACCTAAGATGTGCATTTGCAAAATAGGGTAATAAAAATCCTTCATCCCCTGCTTTTTTTTCCCCTTATAGCTCTTCAGTGCCTTAAAACTTCTACTCACCAAAAAGCAAGGTTGTAGGTGAAGGTTGATTTAGTTAGCTGACTTTATTTAAATAAAAGATCAGTCCAAAATTTTATCACTCCAAATTTCAGTGAAAAAAAAAAAACTCTGTAACATGTTGCTAACATCTGTGTTTAGTAGTTGTAATATACTATGAAGAGCTTTAATGATTAAGAATTGTGATGGTCTAAAGGTAAATATTATCAGTGCAGCATAACTAGTTATGCTTTGAAATTATATAAAGTAATGAACACTTTTGCAGAAGTTTTGAAATAATTGAATGATGTTAAGTATTTAAAGTACTTTCCTAGTATAGTCATTATGCAAAACAGTATGAAAATTCTTCAAAAATTAAAAATAGGAACATATGATCCAACAGTCCCACTTTTGAGTATTTATTCAAAAGAAATGAAGTGGGTATCTCAAAGAGGTTTCTGTATTCCCAAGCTATTGCAGCATTATTCAAATTAGCCAAGATGTGAATCCACCTAAGTGTCTGTGAAAAAGTAAAAGGATAAGGAAAACGTGTGTGTTTACACACATGCAATGGAATACTATTGACTCTTTAAAAGGAAGGAAATCCTGACATTTGCAACAAAATGGATGCATCTGGAAGGCATTATGCTAAGTGAAAGAGACCAGACCCAGAAGGACAAATAATATATGATCTCACTTATATGTGGAATCTAAAATGGAACCCAGAAGTACAGAGAAGAAAAGCAATTGCCAGAGTTTGAGATATGGGGGGAGGCAGGGAAATGATAGCCAAAGGGCAACAACAGCAGCAGCAAAAACACTTTAATTTTTGGCTGTTACTGATTGTTCATTAAATATTCATTATTATTGCAATAATCCATTTTTGTATACAGGAAGGTGTATGAAATTGGGCTGAGTAGGTCATAAGTGTAGAGTCTTCCAAGACTATAGATTTTGAAATAAATCCATTGCTTAATCTTGTTTTTGGTTTAATTTACCTCTTTCTTTTAATACATGAAGATCCACACTTCTGTTAGAAGATTCTGGACTAGTGGGCCTAGTTATCATAGCTTTTACTGTACCATTCCCCCAAGTGGGACAGGCATCAAGTCTGAGACTCCTTAGGCTGCCCCAATTCTTAGGTACACTTTCTAAGAAGAAATTAAGAGTCCTGGGCTAACTATTTCTGCCCCTTCTAACTAGTTCTATTCCAGAATTTTTTTTTTTTATAACTAGCCGCATTCATCTGTGTTAAAAGTTTTAAGAATTAGTTGAAGGGAAGGTGCTAAGGAATTTCAGTAATTGAGAATTAGCCTCACTAATTCCAACAACCAAATAGTTACAGACTACATTGGGAGTTGCATATTTTTCTCCTTTGAAAATAGTTGGTAAATAGGTATTTATTGAGTGCTGCAACCGCCAAGTAGGCATTGTGCCTGATGCTTTCATAGATAAAGAAATCATGTTTTGACTTTCATGCAATCTTGTTGGATAAACAAGATAAATTCATATAAAACAAATCAGAGACCAAATAAAGCAACATTTCTTCAAGTATCACATTGATGGTTCTGGCAGAAGGTCAGAGGAAGAGGTCAATGCTGGATAGATTTTTTTTCCCAAAAATATTCTTATGGGAGGTGGAATTTGTAAAGGTGGGACATAGTGGGAACTTCAACTCTGTGAACAGTGCAACCCAGACTAGACATGGGGGAAATGTGGCACCTCCCATGTACCAGCTAGCCAGCCTGACAAGAGTGTCATGAGAAATAACATCTCAAATCCCTCAAGAACACATTCTTGGCTATTGGTATTGTGCATGCGTGGGTACGTCTGTGTACATTATGTTTATGTTAATGCAAAGTTGTTACAAAAACATGATTCAAATTTGAAAGTTGTTTTGAGGCTATGAAGACAACATATGTAACAACACGCAAAGGCTCCAATCATGTTTGTGCTTTCATGTATTCCTTTCCATGATAATAAAAGGTTGGCTAGCCATGGATAATCAAGAGCTACATAAAACCCTTCAGTGTAATTTTAGCCATTCAATTTCACTGACTTTTCTCATAATTCTTTAATGCAGCTGTGAAAACAAACTAATTTAACTTACTGGTATTTTTCTCATTGTCTTTAATTCCTCTATTGTCTACAGTAAACCAGGCCATGGTCTAATGCAGACATCTAGGAGTGGAATCAGTGCAGATGGCCTGGTTCATCTGTTAGATCTGATCCCTCATCCATCTATGTCTGGTTGGAAATTCCTTAATATGCTTTGAAAGCACCCAGAGAGGATCCAGAGGTCCAATGATCTTTAAATCTTATTTTCACTTACATTTCTTAATTCAAAAGTAAGATATGTTCATATGAACTATAGAGCTTAAAAAAGCTAATTAATGACGCATTCTTGAATATCTTACAATAGTAGTATAGTAGTTCCCCTTATCCATGGTTTTGCTTCCCATGACTTTACTTCCCATGGTTTTAATTAACCACAGTCAACCATGATCTAAAAATATTTAATGGGAAATTCTAGAAATGGACAATTCGTAAGTTTTAACTAACTCTTGTTACAATGTGTTGCTGTAACTGTTCTACTTTGATATTGTTGTTAGTCTTTTACTGTATGTAATTTATAAATTAAACTTTATCATAGATACGTATATATAGGAAAAAATATCACATAAGTAATTTCCAGTGCTATCTGTGGTTTCAGGTATCCACTGCAGGTCTGAATGTTTCTCCCATGGGTATGGGAGGACGACTGTATACACTTCAATAGATAGGTTCCTCTTGAGGGTGAATTTCTGTGATGTTTCATCAGTAGAGTTGGTTAGCTCAGGGGATTCAAGTGCAGTGTTCATGGGTGAATGGACAATCTTGCTCCCACTTCATATTATAGGATAGAGTTTTTGTTTGGTTTGTTTACTTGTTTGTTTTGGTTGTGTTTGTTTAATTTGAAGGTCAAGGATAATTCCCCCTAGCAAATTGGCAAGCATATGTCCTTGGTAACAACAATGAGTGGTAAAATAGACTAGCTGGCTTAATAGAGACAAGCAAGCATTCTTGAAGTAAAAATGTGAAATATGTGTATATGCTATTTGTGATTCATTTTTGAGTATTGCATTCACATACCAAAACCAGCTGACGATGGACTTGATACTCAAGAGTTGTAATCTTCAGGACACCATTGAGCTTTCCAGTAAGTTTGGAAAGTACTGTCTTCTTAATAGCTCTAACTTAAATACAAGTTATAGTCCAATTTCTCATTGTGTATGTGGTGCCTTTCTTTTCCCATAGAATAAGCAATGTTATAAATAGCTATTAGGCTCTCAGACAAGCACACAGAAGACCATTTAATAGATGGTAGTTAAATATATATTTATTGATGAATGAATAAATAAACAGTAGCTCTATTCAGTTGAGGTCTGTGTCCCTAAATCTAGGGATTGTGTGATAGGAGACAGAAGATAAGGATTTTCCTTTTGAGGGAATAAAGTAAGATCTATACAAAATTTTATGATGAATGAAAATGCATCACAGGCACCTCTGGATCCCTTTGCTCTAGCTTCTATTTTTTTTTCTTTTTCTTCTTTTTTTTTTAACTATTGTCACCCAACTTTGGGCAAAATTATTTCAGCCCATTTTAATTCTTCATCAATTATTTACTATTTTCTTCCTCTTCTCAATCAAAACTCACTTCTTCATTAAAAATTCTTGTAGTTAGATAATAGAAAAGATTTAGTTACAACTAAGTCTATATTGTGTTGTCATGGACTGATAACCCATAACCACACTTGGACCCAACCAGACTCCTCCATTCCATTGCTCATGGAAATTTCTAAGCAGCATATGATAGACCTAGGTCAGGTGATGAAACCATTTTTAATAGAAAGGCTTGTCTTCTTTGAACGTTATCAGTCTTTTTCTAGAACTCCTCCCTTTGTGTCTGCATAAATCAATTCTTAAAGACCATATTGAAATCTGGACACCTTCTTATATGACTTGCCCTCACACAAGGTCTTAGTGGCACCTAAAAATGAAATCATATTTATAATGTCAACTTCATTTTCATGCTCTCCGTGTCCTTTTAGACAGAGCATAGAACACACATGATATTTTTTTTCTCTTTTTTCTAATGCCTAACCCAACCTCAGTTCTTTCAAGGTCAAATGGTCCAGGAATACAAGTTCAAGCAGAGCTCCTAGGGAAGACATCCTCTCTAGTCTTTAAGCTTCATTTTACTATTCTGTGCAGTGGAGATAATATTAAAGCCTGAATAATTGAAATGTTGTGAGGATTGTGCAAAATAAGACAGACAAATTTCTTATATAACATCTAATACTTTGTGAAACTATAGCAAGTGAAAAATGGTTCCTGTTGGGCTTATTTTTGGTGGCATTCCTCATTCCACTTTGCCATTATTTCTCTGGCTCTTAGATTCTCATGATTTTGCAATCAGTTTTTTTTTTTTTTGTGGGAAGGGCCACGTGATTACAGACCTCTCAAGGTTTCACCCACTGTCTACTTCCACATACACAGTCCATCAGCTCAGTGGATCAT